TCTCTCTCTCTCTCTCTCTCTCTCTCTCTCTCAGCGTCGTTGGTGCCACAGAGTCATATGCCAGCGGCTCGCCCGTGGCTTGTTTTTTTAAAGGCTAATTCTTTAAGCCCCACCAATTCAATTACCTGTCGAATCTGCACAGGACGACCTTTTTTATTGTCATTATAGTATTATGGGGAACCTCGTAGCAGCCACATCCGTGCTCAAGGCACCAACGAGGGAACATGTAGGAGCTACACCCGCCAACAGGTACGATACCTACTACACTCTCTCTCTCTCTCTCTCTCTCTCTCTCTCTCTCTCTCTCTCTCTCTCTCTCTCTCTCTCTCTCTCTCTCAGCGTCATTGGTGTCGCAGGGTCACATGCCAGCGACCCGCCTGCCATGACATGGCGCGCCTATAAGGGTGTGGGGCGCCCCCCCTCCTCCACACTTAACCATAACCTAAGAAAATACAAGTTTTATACCTGAACCCAAAAATCGGGCCTGCGCTGGGGCTACCACACCACTTAACTTGCAGTGTCAGGCACAACATTTTATTTTATTTTTTTTTGAAAAAGGGAACCTACCTTTTTTTTTTTTTTTTTTTGCACAAATGGGCCCAGTGCCCAAGGCTTCAATTATGAAATGGATTACAACACTTATACACACGCCTCTTCCCATTAGGGTTGAAAGAGCCTCAACCACTGCTCCCTTGGAGACAGCTTCCATGCAAAACACAAATATAGCCTAGTCGTGGGGCATTGATTGCTTCCCCAGTGAGAAAGGATTAACCCCGTTTGTGTGCAAAATCAATCTCTGCCTTACGAAACTCCTCAATTATCCCAACTTCAATCATTCTACATGGTGAGGAGTAGGGGAGATATCAATACGGCAAAGAGATTGATAACAAGGCAAAAAAATTTAGTAGTTTAGTTGTAATTACGACGAGCTTCCCCTAAATATCAATAGTTAACACAAAGACAAAGCATAGGGGAACACGTTAGTTGAAAGAAAATTCTAAGAGCACAGTAGTTGAAAGAAAATTCTAATATAAACGTAAAGATCATCATCAAACCAAGTCAAACCCTAACCAATGACGACCAAGGATTGAACATGACCCCATGAGATGGAGATGGACTGAAATCAAGTACCATGAGAGAGGAAGAATTCACCCAACAAGGGAGATCAACACAAATGAAAAGAGGGGGGGAGGGAGGGAAAGAAAACAAACCAAGAAGTCACCCCTGTCTCCCAAACCCCTTCTCCGCAACCTCTCTTCTTCCTCCCGAGTCCCACGGATAAAACTCATCGTCCTTCCGCCCCTCACCGCATCGAGCATTATCTCATACACGTCAAAATTTTCATGCGAGAGGGCGGGAAGAAACCGAATAGCAGGGAAAAAAAACAAACCAAGAAGTTACCTCTGCCTCCCAAACCCCCTCTCTGCAACCTCTCTTCTTCCTCCCGAGTCCCATGGATAAAACGCATCGTCCTTCCACCCCTCACCGCATCAAGCATCATCTCATGCAGGTCAAAAATTTCATGCGAGAGGGTGAGAAGAAACCGAATAGCCCTCACCTTAGTAGCTAGCCCATCGCCAGACCTTGGTTGGATGCTGATTGTGTAGATCAAAGCGGGCAAGACAATCATGGCTAAAGATTGTATTTTATACGTCATCGTCGGAGTCGATGTTGTTGTCGTTGGAAAAATTGTTGGTGTTGATGATGTCATCGTGGTTGGCGCTGTTGATGTAGGTAGTGACAGTAGTGTTTCAAATGCCATCGTTCGAATCGTTGTTGTTGTCGTTTGAAAATTGTTAGAGTTGATGATGCCATCGCAATTGGCGCTGTAAATGTAAATAGTGTTTCAGGCGTCATCGTCAGACTCACTGTTGTTGCCGTTTGAAAAATTGTTGGTGTTGATGATGCCTTCACGGTTGGCGTTGTTGATGTAGATATAGTTAACGAACTTGTTTCAGATGTCGTCGTGAGAAGCGCTGTTGTTGTCGTAATGAAGATCGTTGGTGTTGATTTTGTCAAAGATATCATCGTTGCTTCTGAAAGTTGCTGCAAACCAGTTGAGGCAGCGCTCACAAACACCTCCCCAGATGTACTTATTGCCCCCTTATCACACAGATCGCTCCCTTCCTCGTAAATTGCATAGCAATCGCCCATCAAGGAGTTCGCGAACTGCCAATCAAGAAGATTATCCAACTGTGGATCAGGACCCTCTTCAAACTCCCAAAGGTCATCCACCATCCTTTGCCGCTTATCCTCCAGCCATGCGGTCCTTTAAGTCTCCCCCCCTACAACTTCAGACCAATCACGGTCTGTTGAGGACACAAGAGTCATCATCTCCCTCAGCCTACGCTTCTCCTCCTTCAACTTGTAGATCCAATTTGCCGCCGCTTGTTGTAGATTTGCTGTCAAAGTCATTTTCGTCCCCCTGCCGTACCTTTCATCCGATATAGCGCCATTCGCAAGGACGTCATCTGCACGCTGACCACAAGATTTACTCGCCCTGCCCTTATCGTTGTCCATTCCGCCCTCGTCAAACCTCCTCCAGACACGAAGTTTGACCTAAATTTTCCACAGCGATGACATCAACATCGTCAGTCCCCCTCGTGGCCACCGAGACGTTGGGTGACAAGACCGCCGGACCCGCCGACTAGTTCGCTTTTTGCGCGCTCACGACGTAACGCTCCTTGCTCTTAGAGTTGGACCCCACAGAAATGCGGAAAGGAAGAATGTTTCCGCAGAACTGTTTTAGGGACCCCACAGGCAGCGGAGGACCTTCTGGCAAAAATGAAATGTCTTCCAAATACTGGTTTCAGGAACCCCACAACCCGCAATTTGTGGCGTGGAAGAACATGTATGGCCGTTTTCACATCGTCCGCTGCGTGGAAAAGTGGCTCCGGGGAACATCTCGCCTCAATTTTGTGCCGAAAGTTGAGAGTGAGGGAGTGAGTGCGCGGGGTACTTTCCAAGGTCACGCCCACCGTTTGAATCAGCAAGTTTCCTGCCCCTTGGCCTACCCCGGTCCTGGAGCCCTACGACACCCACATGAGGCCGCACGGTCATTCCTTGGGTCCAACCCACGCCTTCCGGACATTCGGCCACGTTCCTTTTCGGGGTGCTGAACGACGACCTTTCCTATTACGGAATATCACTTGCGCACTTTGCCGCAAAACGCAGTCCGCTATGGGGTCCCGACAAAACGGTTTCCAACCTTTCCAAAATTGTTCGGCCGCTTTTTATGGCCACACGTCTTTTCCATCGTTTTTCCTGTGGGGTCCAGCTCTTAGCGAGATAGAAAGTTCGCAGCCCGTCAGGGTTGCGTTTTCCCCCCTGAGACATTTCAACGTCAATCAAATTTCAACGTCGGTGGTCGTCGGGAGGGTGGGCATTTTGAGGTTTTGGGGCCTTGCAAGGGTCAAGACCGCATAGGACCGGTAGCTGCGCATAGGAGGCCGAGGAGGCTGCAGTCCTTTTTCGAAATTGAAACGGTGCGGGTCCACTTTTCTCGAATAGCAGAGTTCCTCGAATAGAAAACGTACACGTTGTATTCGAGTACAACCTGTACCCTTTCTATTCGGATTTCGAAAATAAAAAAATGTTGTATTCCGATAAAATTACTTCTTCGTTTTGTTGGAGGTCAGCGCCTGCCCTTGTGCTCCCCGCCACTGACATGCTGCATGATGCAAATCTCTCTCTCTCTCTC